ATTAGAGTATTAGACTATAGAACTGTATTTTTTTCCTTTGTATTTCATGACATAATTACATATCCTTTGGGCCAGGCAAAGGAGAGGTAGAAGCATACCGCTAATCCAGCAGTTAGGATCATATGAAATATTTGCATGTCTTATGTCTGACAAACTATTTCTTCAGAATAAACCTCCTACTGACTTCATTATTCCAGACTGAGTGGTAGTATTTAGCTTATCAAATGTCTGGTTGCTTTCTACCTTCCATAAGCAGAAGGAGGTTGCCGTCTGGATTTCGTCTTTGCTGCTCTATTTCAAAAAACTTGTTTTCTTAATATGTGATATGCTGCAAGATAAATGAATAGCTAACATCAGTGTCCAGAACTATGATGCAATAGCAAGTGGTAAAGGTCCTATTATTTTATATCTTTTACAGTTTTGCTGGTGCTATCTTGCTCTAGTGGATACTGTCGGAAAGGGTATTTACAATGCTTCTGCAAATGGATGATAATTATGCAAAAAACAGAGATACAAAAGAAGTAAAGAAAGATTTTTATGTTTGGTTTTAGATTTCACTGGACTACTATAGGGAAGTCTCCTCTGTATCCTGAAATGAGGGAATTAAATCACATTTTGCCTAGCAATGCCTGCCTACAAGTGTCAAAGCAGAAACCAGACCACTTTTCATTAAAAACTGAGAAAAAGAGGGAGTAAAAGGAAATAAGATGTTTTGTGTGACTTACTGTATTCATAGGGAAAACTTGTCTAGATAATGAGGTCATATGGTAGTCAGTATATCATTGGCATCTGTAAAAAGGAACGCCAAAACTTTGTGTATCTTTTATACATAAAGCTCCTTGAGCTGTGAACTTGGTAGATTTAAGTAATAGTTATGATTAAAGGTGCTCTCTTTTTCTTTTCCTGTTGACTTTTAAGAGTGGAACAGACTTTCTTTGCTTTTTTTGTCTGTTTTCATCATTCTGTCTGTTGCTAAATATTGGCTTGTTCTCTTAGATCAGGAGAAAGATGTCAAGTTATTGTGATAGCCAATCTGATGTACATATATATACCAGGAGAAAAAATAGCCTGTTTACAGAATAAAGTATCCTTCAGTCTAACGTATCCTACTGGGCAAATTTTGCCTTTTATGTACATGAAGACATGAAGAGGAAGACTTCCATACCTAAAATTTCAAAGGCATAATCTAAATGCTCATCAGATATGAAAATCAGAGGTGATGTGTCAGGCCCAGTAGAGTCTGAGGAAAACTTGCCACTAATTGTAATGGTCCAATGTCCTTATGCTAGATCTTACTACTCCCTTACTGCTATATTATTATTCTCTTCTTTTTATGTACAGAGAAACTATATTGTTAGTCTCTTACTGCTATAAGCAATTTTTAATACTTAATTCAGTGTTCCAGTAAAAACCAGAACTTTTATTCTGTATCAATGTCTTGTGGTTTCCCTACCAATTTTTCCTTTTTATATATTATATCTAATATCTTTTAAGGTTTTTTGTCTGTTTGGTTTGAAGATATATGATGCTTATACTCATGTCTCTTCTAGCTTAGGCAGAGTTGGCCTTTTTGAAGCTTAATATTATAGTTTATGTTGACTTCACCATTTCATAATGTCAAATCCAATTAATTCAGCAACTATGATCTACGTGGCATTTTCTAACTACATTTACTTTTTGGAGTCAAAACAGGCATGAATAAAAGGTTCTCAATTTTGTCTGTTTTTCTTTAGGTGACAGAAATCTCTTCCTCTCTATTTATTTATTTCTTTTTCCCTGAGAAATGGGCATAAATAACTTTGGTTTCACTAAAACTCTCCCCATAGGGCTATTTCAAGGCTTTCCAGCAGCACACACAGAATTAGATTTTCATGTCCAAAGGATCTCTGAGGAGGCAAAATTAAATTATACAGCAGAACAGAAAAATGAGGGAGTTCTGGGAAAGCGATGAAGGCTGGGAGAGAATAGCAGGAAACTGGGTGGTCTGGGTTGGGAGTTTTATGGGCTTCTGTGACAGGCTAAGGTCTGTGGATTGATTGTTCATCTTTCTGTATCTCATCTGTCTCCTCCAGGTGCATCCCTCTCCCCAGGGTATGCAAAGCCGGTCTACCCCATTTGGGGGACTTCTGACTCCCCTTTCTCTCATGCAACTGTTGACTCCTTCACTCCTCTTTGCAAATGCAACTGTCTCCCTGCAGCAACTCCCACTTAGCCCTTTGCACCTGTTGGCTGGGAAGAACTGGGCTTCTGGCAGCAGGGATGGGTGAGAAAGGTGATAGCGATAACTGTTTCTTGACCCTTCACATACATTTCTCTTAATGCTTCCTTTTTAGTGCATTATGAGTAGCAGAAATCTGGGCAAGAAGAGAGAAATCAGTCATTAAGTATAAAAAGAGCCAACCCTACTCTGCAGTAGTCTATAAATTAGCCTGTATCGTGTAATTCATACCTGGGTTGTCTAGTTGTGTAAGAGTACTAGTCAATTTATTCCAGTAGTGTGTCTAATGAACTCTGACATCAACTGGTCTTTTTCTGAATGATCAGGAGATCTGTCTATATAATATTCCCCACTTCTCATTCATATCGACGTTAATTTAAATTTGTGTGATCCCCACTCTATCTTAGACTATTTATATAAAATAAATCTAATGGAAATAATACAACACTCTTCCATTCTGCTTGTTTAATTTTTTCTATTGTTGAATAATATTTTTGCTATGGTTTTTTTCTACTCTGTTCCTGTAATGGTTAAATACTGACATGTTCTCCCTTGAATGATTCAAAGGTATTGAATTTCATTATTCATCTTCCTTTAGTTGTGTAAAAAAATTCTCTCTGATATTACATGTATGTATTTTTTACCTTTAGAAGGTGCATTGACTATACTTTTTTTTGTGACTTTTGTCTTCATTCACTTACATTGGCTTGTAAGGTCACAGCTAATGTGCGTTACCTGCTTTCCTGTACCTAGCACTGCTGCAGTTCTTTGCTTTTTGCTCCAGGGGGCAAGAAGCACTTTATTCTCTGGTACAACAATTCTGAGGTTTAAAATATAAACGTAGGGCAACCACCATGGAAGATGGCATCATAAATAGCAGGGAAAGACCTGTAGTCTGCTCACTTTGTCTATGCAACAGGGTAGCAATAATAGTCCTTCACGACCCACACTATGCAGAGTTAACCCAATCCTTTTAATAATCAGTGTAAGAATATTGGTTGCTATGGCAACACATTCTGTGGTACCACTTGACTGTCAAAATAACCTCATGAAATAACATGCTAAGAATGTTTTAGAAATTGACTTTTAAAATAAAAAAGTAAATAAATCCACCTAACTTTAGAAGATATGGCTAGATTCATGAAGTCTGCAACAAGGGAACAACCATTTTCTGACTGAGGGCAATCAGACTAGTAGCGATGGATATATTGTATTTCTCATCTTTGGTGAGTGAGCTGAAATAGAATTGAGAAATATTTTTTTTTTCTGCTTAAATTAATGGTATACCAACTGCATCTGTGTGTAAGAAGTTAGCACAAGAGTCAAAGGTTAAGTGATCCTCAGATGTTATACAATTTGAGTTACTACCTGTGTGCAGTGCCTTTGCTTCTCTTACAGTTTCCATCAGCTTGTGTTCATCTTCAGAACCGCTGCTGTTTCTCCACTTCTTTCCCCTCCTACCTTTCCTTCACCTCTGCATTCCCTTTCTTGCAGCAGACTCCACACGTTTCATTATTCTGTTGGCTAAAACAATCTGCAGTTAAGTGTGTGGGTTTTTTTTTAAAATTTATTTCTATATGGGCCTCAAAGCAGTGCTTTAGAGCTAATGTTACCACCAGATTAATAGATGTTGTCAGCCATTGTCTCAAACAGTGTTATATTGGTCAGGCAAAAATCCAGCCACTTCTGAAAGATTGTTTAAGATAAACAAACATTCCTAAAGACAGCATTTAGTATCTGAATATCAGGTAGGCTGCACAAACAAATGTCAAGCAGGCTAGAACAGCTATTACATATTCCAGTTTAAACATGGGCAAAGAATTAAGATGTGAGTAAAACTTACTTTTTGTTGTTGTTGTCATAATTTTTTTTTAACATGAGATTTTAAAAAGCATTCATTACTAGCTTAACTTTCCTCCTTCTCCTGAAATCAATAAAAGTTGCCACTGCAATTCATTCAGTTGGGGTGGACTATTCTGTGTAGCAAAATAGCATAAATAAATGGGAACTGTCCACTCTTCCTGTTTCTGGCTGTCATAAAAAATTAGGATACTGGTTTAAGCAAAAATCAGCATTATTCCCTTATCACTGAGACCAATATGGAAGCCTTAATGCTCACAACTGAATGACTTTTTCACCATAACTTTCGTCCCTTCTAGCTGGTAAAACAAAATAAGACAGGTAATTTTTAAATAAAATTTTTGCCTACAAAATAAGCTAACACGTTCATTATTGGTAAATATAAAATAAGAATTGAAACCTCGTATTTTGATTGAATTTATCTTTTTTATGCAAAACCCTTGGACTGATCGAGGTGAATGTAATACAGCTGTACTTTTCTGAACACAACAGATGACTATTGAGGCAAGATCCCCTTAGTTTATATTATTTCCTTCTTGGGGATAGTATTTTTTTTTTTAATATATTAGGCTTTGTTCTCTGTGGGATATCCTAAACTTAATGATGTTAAAGCAAATTTTAAAGTAAAATGAAGTAGAAATTGCCAATTACTTGATAATGAAGAAAATAAGTATTTTTAATGTATGATATTATGATCACTCATATTTAAAGTATAATTGCAGATAGGTCAATATGCACCTTCCTTAGAAAATGTGATTTTCATACAGCAGATTGACAGTTGAGTAGTTACTTTGTATTAAAATAGCAGTTTATCTTTTGGACTTTATAAATGGGAATCTTTTAAGTTCTTTTCATTAAGTAAAATGTTTCTTAACAACGTATCACTGTGTTTAATTTGAAAGTACTGTTTCTTTATGCACAGAGGCCGCCTTCAACTTGTTTATCACCAAGAGAGGAGGAAGATGATGATGCTGGTGAAAATACTTGTGGTCCTTCAGGTTTATGGGAGGCATTGACACCTTGTAATGGATGCAGGAACCTCGGATTTCCTATGCTTGCACAGGTATATGTTTACCTTGTCATCATAAAACACCAACTATAAAAGAGCTGGTTAATCTCTTACAGTAATTTCTAGTCTTGCCTTATTCCTTTCATAATTGTTATCTTCAGTTTTCATTGTAACCTCAAAATCCAGTTTTAAAATTAAATGTCAAGGTTCCGTCATCCTGCTGTAATACTCATCCAGATGAGTTTAATGTTGAGACTGTGTGATGTTTATTACCCTTGTTTTAGACAGACAGTTTTTATGTTGCATAGCTTTCTCTTCTGATTCAATCTGGAAAGAAATTTTGAAGTCACATAGTTTCCTTTGGGATAAGTGCTCTATTTTTGACCAGCTTCTAATTAATATGATGACATCTTGGCTACTTTTTTTATAGAATTAATTAAGGACATCATGCATAACTCAACTGATGTAAGAATATAGCCTAAGACTTCTCTTTGAAGATTATGTAAGTTAAAAAAAAAAAGTCCCCAAACATTTTCAAATGCTCATGATAATACCAAGGAGAATAAATAAAAATGTGTAATATACTTGGGTCTAAGTCCCAACAATTCTCAGAGCAGACCAGTCTGCAGTATCCACCAAGGCATGCCAACAGCTGTGTCCTGAACAAGTGATATTGTATTGCTACGGAACAGGATGATGCTTATTGCTGCTTCTGGGTCTCCCTTGTTCTCTCCTCCCCACTATAGTTTAGCACTCTCATTTCTGTAACATTTTTCCTGCGCTTTTCTTGTAGCATTGAATGGAGGCCTGCCAAATTTCTGTTTAGAAATGTCTGGGTTTTCAGTTGCATCCTTACTTGGCACTGCATTTAAATAGCTTTGTCAGATTCTTGTGTACCAGATTGGAATTACATATCCTGTCTCACCACACTTTATACACTGTTGCTTTCATACCATGACTGTACGTTTTATTCCCTTTAGTCTCATGGGACTTGCACCTGTTTGAAGTCAATTCTAAAGCTTCCACTGCAGTCAATGGAAACAGGATATGGCAACTAATGTGCTTGAATAACAATGAACACTGCCCTATCTTTTTATAAGGAGCTCTTATATTCCTTTCCGCTTTCAGTAGCTGTTTTCTACTTCATACTATCTATCATTTTAGACATTTGGCAAGGTGCAGAGCTGTCAGAATTATCCTGAGTTACAATAGGAGTGCTGTAGTTACTAATTCCTCATTTTTAAGAATTTGTTTCAAAAAATATTTCTTAAATGGAACTTTTCTCATTTAAATATGTATCACCTATGGTTTAATTTATTGTTAAACTTTCCTGTGATGAACATACGTGCTATTTTGGAGTGATTTCCTAATTTTAAAAAATATTTTTGTTTTCCTTGTTTCTTTTTAACGTAAGGTATAGGTAAAGTGTGTTTATAAAATTGAGGAATGCATTTGAAAAATAGAATAAAGTTAGCTTTGTCAGTTGGTATCTTTTTTTTATACAGAGATATTCATTTCAAGAACGATGTAAGTTTTAAGATAGTGACTCCTGAGTTAGTTTTATTCATTGTACTTAACTTTTAGACTCAACCGTACAATATCTTATTTTTCTTGCTCCAAGAACTAATAAGATTTTTAATTATGGGTACAAAAAAGAATATACTTACTCTGTGTTCATTCATGAAATGGCAGATCACCTTTCTAGATTGTTTCTCTCCATAAAAACTGAAGACAGAGATAGTATGGGGGTTTTGTTGTTTTTCTTTTTATGGAAGAAAGGAAAGAAGTTTAATGAAAACTCTCCAAATTACAAACCGGTGAATTCAGTTTATGAAGTGTTGCCATCACTGTATGCAGTCTTTCAAGCTGTTAGCTAATCTGTTGAATCTTTCGCATTTACTTTAGAATGCAGCAGAGAACATCTTGTTCTAAGTGGTTGAAAACACAAATTATTTATTTCAATTTTTAGATTAAGACCAATACCTTGAATTGGTCTAACAAATTATCATAGATATAATCTGCAACAGCATGTTTTAGGTAAAAGTACAAAAATGTGTTTCTGATGCTCATGTCAGTCCACTAACATATCAGAAAGTGCAGTCGTCTTCATGAAGAAACAATGAGATAAGGGTACGTGACAAGTCTTAAAAGCCATACTCTACTAAAGATCCCAAAATAGGGAAAAGGGTCAATTAATTACTCTTGAACACAAATGACACGTTCATTTTTCCAGTTGTCTTCTAGTGAAAAATAGATTTAGAGTTCCATAACTATACTGTGTTTACACATCAAAGGAGAACAAACATAAAGACTGATTCTTGGTTTATGTACACAGTCAGAGGTACAATGGTAAAATGAAAGTAAATTTTAGGTGAGATTATGACAGTGTCCATCTGTGACCTAATGAGCTAACAGTTTTCAATATGCTGAAGAAAAGAGCAGTTATCTCCTTGACAAACTTGATTTCTTTATTGCAGTTATGGAAAAAAGCTTGGCTGGAGGTACTTCTGACATGCAGTATGTCACTTGTCTGTACTGTGCGGGGAAGTGTCATTTTAGAAAGGGCTGTTAGAGAAAGTTCTGTGTAAATTGTTCTGCAGATATCATTTAAAACCTAACAGGTTTTAATACAGGTATTCTCAGAATAAGCAACTGTCTTTTACAGTCTCACAATTGGTGAAGTCCTGGGAGAGCTTGATGGAAAATCTTCGTGTCTTGTAAAAATTTCAGGGTTTTAGAAAGTGCCCAATTTTACATCAGAATGGAACCAGCTTCATCCACACCCAAAATAAAAAAAAAAAAAAAAAAGCAAGCCAGAGAGCAAGGATACCCAGGTGGATTTTGGGAGACTGAAATTTAAATACATTTTCTTATTTTAGCAGAGAGTGAATTCCATTTGTAGGTTATGATTTATGGTTAATGTGGAGCTATTGCTTTTTTCTGAAATTAATCTTTCTTTTTGGGCAGAAATTCCATCCTTGGTAAAACTGATGCACATTTTTGTGAAAAATGTTGACTTCCACAAATGAGTATTTTATATCTGAAAAAGCCTTTCTTAGGAAATTCCAGATTCTGTATTTTCTGGCTGTCAGTCAGTACAAAAGAAAAAACCTTTTTTCCACCTGTATAGCTGAATAACGGTATTTTACAGATTTTTAACTTTTTTTTTTTTTTTATTCTGCAATGATGTGTCTGTTAAAATGAGACAAAGCTTTGATGGTATGATAGTACTAGACCCTCTTCCATGGATCTCCAGTTCTTGTAAAATCTTCTTACAGTAACTGCCAAGATTTTTAATGCTTTAATAATTGCATTTCTGGCCATCGTAAAAATATGATACTAATGAACATTCTTCCTGTCCAAGAGCTGGAATAAAAGAATATTATTTTCGTATATAGTTTTCTCTCAGAGTAGCCACAAAAATAGGAATTATGTGACAAAGTATAACATTTATCCGGAAAGATCTCGCTATGCTGTAAGTACTGGAAAGAAAACTGAGGTATGATCCTTAAAAATACTTTTGAGCAATGTCTGCTAATGATAAAAAAGCTGGAAGCATTGTAGTGTCATTATTATTGACCATCTTAAGTGAGGAATTAGTCAAGAGACTAATAATTCAGCTAAATGTAGAATGGGAAAGTTTAGAGGTAGAAATAGCATAATCAACTTCATATGTATATGGATAGTTACAGTTATGAGGATTTCCAAAGAAACACAGGCTGCCAGGACAGAGTTCTGCAGATAATTGGGTTGACACTACAGCTTTGTTTATGCTCTTCTTGAAGGAATCACAGTACAGATAATGATAGCAGTGAAGATGTAGGAACAGGGGCTTCAGCACAGTGACTGACCTTGACTACAAACCTTCTGAGACTGCTAGCCACAGAGTCAGATTGTAAGACTGTACCACCACATTGTCTGCAGTTTGTAGTGATAGCTGCAATATAACTATAGATACACAGCTACAGCCTCGCTAGCAGTCAGACTTTCAGTTATTGAGTACATGTGCCACTGTACATATCATATTTTTCAACCTGTGTAACTCCTGTGGTTGTAGTGGGAGACTGACTCCTCTGAAGTCCAACCTTCAACTGATTTTTTTTCCCAGTCTGAGTTTCACCAAGCTTCTCATCCCAATCTGCTCCTTTCCAATGCGTATCTTCTCCATGCCAGTCTATCTGTCATTGTTCTCTTGTTTTGGTTCAGACACTTTGCTATTCCACATTGCCTTTGGTTAGTCAGTGAACAGAGTTAAGTTTCTGTCCTCACAAAGACAAGAACAGCAAATTTAGGTTGAGTAAGGATTCAACCCTTTATATTTTTGGTAAAAGGAGTTTGAATTCTAGTCACTGCTCTATGTTTGTATATGTTTCTGACAGTTTATGTGGAGTGCCATGAGCAGAAGACTACAGAGTTATGGTCATTTTTGGGTGCTGCTTTTTAATCTGGTCAAATTTCAACTTGTATCAAACTGTTTTTCAGCATAGTAAACATTTTGAAAATACCTCTGTATCAGAAAATCCTATAATCTAGTAATAGGGGCTCTGGATGTGGATCTCTAGAACAGAAAAAAACTTAAACTTGGTCATATTTCCTGTGAGTGCTCTAATTTCTGTATCATTTTTTGCAAGACAGGCACTTCTACCAGCTTAGATTAAAAATAAAACCAAAACAACCCCCCAAAAGACAGCTAGCTATTTCCACTGTATTCCAGAAGAAGCCTCATGTAGTAGGGACGTGATGTATTTTCTAGGGACAGGAAGATCACAAATTCCCAGAGAAGGCAGTGTGCTTCTGTCTAGCTAGTATATTTCTATCTAGATAGTTCACAAAAGTTCAGGGGTGTTTTGGTCTACCTTGTTTTAATGCAAACTAACATTGAGACAAAAGTCCTTAAGAGAACTTTGAGGCATGCTGAGATAAAAAAACCTGATCCCAAACTGCCTTAGCACAAGCAAAGCCTGTGTTTTCTTGTATGTATGTAGATGAGCTATACCAGGTTCTGCCCTTTGATAGAGAAACATTCAGTGCACACTGGTCAAAAGACAGGGTGG